TATACTACACTACACTATAATCTAAACAATATGCTATTGACAGAGGAATAAATTAATAGATCAAGAACAAAATGGAGAACTGGAAATAGATTATAGTCTATATGAGAAGGTGATACATGTACAAGGTCATGCTATGATTCACCATATAAGAGGATATTTTATGTACTAAACGACGTAGGAGTAACTAGTTGGCTATTGGGTGGAAGTGAATGCTGGATCTCAAGCCTCACATCATAAACAAAAATACATTTCAAATGAAATACTCAAAAACTATGAGTTTGGAGAAAGTTCAGTACTTCCCCCCTGAGAAGCAGGTGCCCAGGCTCTGTCCTCAGGGAGGAGAGTGACGAGAGCTTCATTGCTACCAGCTTCGGTGCCCCACCATTCTTTGGCAAAACTCCAATGCCTGGGATGGTGCAAGGATGAGCGTTGTGCCCCAAAGCACTTTTCCAAGTGAGCCTGTCCCCACACTGGGACAGTGCCTCGTGTCATCCCAGCTTCCCCAGGTTAAGGCTTTGCCTGCCTTGGAAAGTTGTCTTCAGACCTCAATTTCCTCACTCACAAAAGATTGTGAAGATTCAACGAGATGAGGAAGGTAACACACAAGAGTTCCTGGTGCATAGTGAGCAGCAATAAACATTAGCTGCTATGATCTTTATTATGGTCGTTAATATAATCCTTGATTTCCTCAATATCAAGTAAAACCAACTGGTCCTTACCAGAAAACGTCCGCCCCCCACCCCCAACATTCAGGATATCAGCCACCTCCCATCTGATCACTAACGCGCAGGCGCTGGCCCAACAGAAACAGTTAAAGTAGCAGGTCGTGACCACCTCCCTTCCCAGTAGCCCCTGCTCTCTGGTACTTGTTAGAGTTATTATTACTGTTCTGCCAGCTCCGTGACTCTAACACGTGGCTGTTTATTTTCCTTTATAATTTCTTTCAAAGGCTGTTATCTCACTCTTTGTGAAAATCCAACCTAACTAGGTCTACTTGCAGCCTCTCATTTGCTAACGTATTTTCTGTTTGAGAAATTTTCTCCTCAAACTTAGAGAGTAGAGGTAAGGGACCGTGCCTGGCTTGACCCTATCAGACTGGCCTAATCCCCGTATCATATGGTTCTCTTTTAATTAGACATCCCAACAGTTTTCCCAGTTCCAAGCTGAGACTCCTCAGGGATCTGTCAGACCTGAAAAAGATTTTCCACAAAATAATCTTAGAAAAGCAGAAATCCTGAATCGTGTCTGCTTTTGCCCTCTAACTGCAGAGCTTGCCGTAATGGGAGACCAGCTGTGGCCCTCTTGTCCCCCAGACTTCCTCCTGGCCAGATCTGAGTGTCGTTCCCAAGGCTCTTTGAGGTGGCGCCCATTGTTACGCTGGGTTTGGAACGTGAGATGTTGTCTCTCCACGCTTTAATGGATGACAGGCCTTGGGCAGAGGACATTGACATTTATTAAATGCCTACTGTGTGGCCAGGCACTATACTCAGTTCTTTGCCTGTATACAGAGCATTACCTAAGTGTTTCAACTGCCTCGATTTTTAAAAATAACTTTTTATTTTGAAATAGTTTAAGATTCACAAGAAGTTGTGAAGAATAGTACAGAGTTCCCATGTACCTCTCTCCCAGCTTCTCCCAATGATAAAATCTTCCATAACCACGGCATATTGTCAAAACCAAGAACTGACGTTGGGATAACAGTGTAACCCAGGCACCACCTAATCAGCTTCTGCCTGAACCGCTTGCCTTTGAGACTGGCTCCTCATTAGCTAGGTGCAACTTTGGGGAGAACCCTGACATCTCTCTGTTTCAGCTCACTCATCTATAAAGTGTGGACGACAATCGTACCTAAGCACAGATTCTTGTGAGAATTAAATAAGATTGGCTATTATGATTTGTGAGTCCTTACAACAACCCTGCGAGGTAGAGAGTATGGGAGGCTGTCTGCAGACTGGCTGCCATGGACCCCCTTCCTTGGTGACTTGTTGTTTCTCCCCATCAAGGGCTGGGGTCCACTTCCACACCCTTTGAATGTGAGACTTGCTTTGGCCAGTTGAACATAGCAGATGTGATGCTGTGCTGGTTTTGAGCTTATGTCTCAAAGGCCCTGTGTTCTCTCTTTCTCTGAATATTGCTTCCACCACACAAACAAGCCCAGACTAGACTGCCTCACGAGGAGAGACATACAACCCGAATCACCTCTGTCACCCCAACAGCCAGACCCCAGAGGAGCAGCCGTCTAGCTGACCTGCAGCTGACTGTCCACATGCGAGGGGGCCCAGTGGAGACCAGAAGAACGACCCAATCAAGCCCAGCCTAAATTCCCACCTCACAGTGACCTAAAGAAATGGTTCTTGCTTACCACGACATTTCCAGGGGTTGCTTGCACCTGTGGGTAACTGAGACAGATAGCATCATGAAAATGCCAATAGTAATAACAATATTGGAGTATGATGAGAATTAAGGAGATAACGTACGTAATACTTTGAGCATCCAGCCCATGAGAAACCTTCAGTAAATGTGAGCTGGTTCTCATCGTCATCCTCATCATCTCATTCTACAAATGAGAAAACTTGCCTTTAGAAAAGTTGAGGAAGTTGGCCAATAAGCATCTGAGCCTGGTTGCAAACACTGGTCTGGATCCAAAGCTTTGTGCTTGTCCTTGCAGGAAAATGTCTCTGTCTCCTCTGACCTCACCCATCAGTATACCCAATGCCAAACTAATTCACCTAAATTTAAATATTGATACATGGTAAAGTGGTTCTCTCTCCTCCCCTCATCTCTGTGAATCTGTAATGAACTTTTACATTAAGAGTTGATAATGTGAATATTTATGTATATGCATATATATATACACAAAGAAACATGTTGGACATTTTAAATTATTCGTTTAAAATGAAAGCACTCAAATTAGAGTTTTGAAAGATGATCCAAGTTTTCTTCAAATCTTCATCTATTAAAATACTTTCATAGTAACTGATTTATATCTCAATGTAGGAATGGTTGTCCCAGGAACTCTCCACGACTGTTGTCTTTGGAACATTCTGGAATGCTGGGCAGAAGTCAATTGAATGTTGCCGAGGAAAAATATAAAAGAAAATAAAATCTTAAAAGTTCTTAATAATTGTTAGTCCTACAACGCTATGATACTTTTTTTCTTTTCCCACGAGAGCTATGGGGTTAGCCCACACACCAGTGTGTGAATGTGTTGACATCACTATATTAATGCAAATGAGGAGACGGGACTGCATCAAAGACTGAGGGAAAGAAAAGATGTGAATTTGCTGCACTGGTGTGTACCATCACCAAGAATCCAGACATAGCAGGAGTGAAATGTTTGGGAAAGGGACACAGATGACTTGAATGTGGCAACTTTTCATTTTCCATTTTGATGACTATTCGATGATTTTTATACAGTCACAGATCAAACGGAATCATAGTTAAAATGTAATGTGTACACAGTTGCTTTCATCTTCTTTTGTTAATTCACTCATGTAACCGTGTTTATGGCCACTTTATAAGTTATCACCCCAACTCCAAGAGGAGTGAAAATGTGCCTCTCAGTATGCCACATAAGCTTGTGTCCCAGTGAAGGAACCGGAAGGCAAAGGGCCAGCCTGATTTATGAACAGTATCCTACCTCCACAATGGGAATTAATGGAATTCTTCCCCAGAATGAATGAGAACGTCATGCCTTAGGGCAGAGCCTGCTGGCAGTTCACCCAGTGCTCACTCTTCCCATTTTCAGACTAACAGAACCCTGATTTTGTTGGGGGCAGACTTGAGCCAAAATGAAAAATCTATTTCCCAACCTCCCCTGTAGCCAGCAATGGCCGTGTGACTAAGTGGTATGTAGGCTGAAGTTATTAGATGAGGGGCTTTTGTAACTTTCCTTCCTCCTCATTTCTCCCTGGAATGCAGTTTTGATGGTTGGAGCTACTGCAGCTAGTTTGCAGTTATTTAGTATTTTATGGCATCTTGAACCTCATCCCAAGTTCCCTCACTTAGTACTTGAACAATTAATCTTACCCTCTGGTGCCTCAATTTCTCATCTGTAAAACCAAAATAACAATAGTATTTGGTCACAGATGAGGTTATCCACGTAAATGACCTTGCAGAATGATTGTATATACTGAAAGTTTTATTAAAGCCAGGTGCATTTTGTAGAAATAGTTGGAGTAGAGGTAATAACAGTAGTAGGTACAATATTATTAGTAGTAACAATTACAATAATAAAGTGAGCTGAGGACCAAATTAGGAAGCACTTAAAATGCTATTATGAGGCTTTTGGCTTTTATTCCATAAAAAGGACTTATTGAATACTCTTAAGCAGGAGCGTGACATGACTGCATCCACATTATACGAAAATTCCAGAAGGATTCAAGAACTGTTGGAGATGGAATTAACTTCATTTGATAACAACTGTTATACTAGGGGCGAAGGTGTTGAATGGGAGGAAGGACGACTATTTGTTCAGAAATTAACTTGATGGCCTCAGTTGCATCTTCCCTACATGATGTCTGCCCTGCGGGGGTTGATGGCGCGGTGGGCAGGGCTTCCTCACACTTGTCTTCGCTGTTCCTTTGCAGGGCGCTCTGGGCTCGGCTGTTTGCGCAGCTCCCTGAAGCAGGACTTCCCTGCTCGCGCTGTGGAAGCTCAGGCACAGAAAACTTTTTAACTCCGTAGTTGGACACTAAGTCACTGTAAGGTTCTAAAACATTTCCAAATTCCGAGTGTAGCAACTGCAACTGATCTAGACACCAAACTGCTTGAATTATTGGCATTAATGGAAGAAAATATTATTTTAAAGACATCTTTGGCTTCAAAACAGGGAACTACAACTTGCTCCCAATTGGGAAACTGCTCCATATTCTGCCTTCAAGGAGTTGGTGTGCGTGTGATCTGCAATGGAAATGTTCTATATAAAGACTGTAAGACATTGATAGTTAGGCTGAGTTAAACTACAGAAAAACCTGAGTTAACACACATAAAAATCGTTATTGAGCAGGAGTTTTTAAAATTTATTTTGATATAATCAAAGATCCAAAAATACTATCACTGTGCAGTAAAATCTTCCCCAGCTGAGAAAAGCCCAACGAAGGATTTGAGCAGATCACCAAATTCACTGTTGCTGTTTCACATTTGTGTGTTTTCAGACATCTGTGCTCGGACACTTGCAGCCTTTGGGGTACCATGTGCTCGATTTCTTCCTCCATCTTTGGGGGGCTGAGTTCAGCACTGTCCTATCGGATGGCAGGGTGAACCAACGAGGTGCCCACCGACAGTTCCCTCCCAGGTCCTGTGATTGCAGAAAACAGAACGGGGGAAAGAGTCAGCACAGGGTTCCCACAGGGACCAACGTTAGCCAACAGGTACTGGCTCTCTGGAACCCTGTGCTAAGAATTCTGAGACAATGTGTGGAATTGAGGGGGTAGATAGCAGACCTGATTGGTCAGCAGCACCTGCCATGGACCCAGGAGGTGGGAATAACCCTGTGAAGGCCAGGATTCACCAGTCCCAAGGGCCCTGTATCTCAGGGAAAGGCAGCAGGTGGTGGAAACCCATCAAATCAGCTCTCAGTCTACTTATTTGTAACCTATCTTGTCCCAAAGAAGATTTAAGGTAATTTACAAACATATGCAATACATCCATATAATAAAAAGAGAAGAAAAATACTGGAGTGAAGGGAAAGAGAGTGTCGGGATCCAGGTCTGTTGGATCTGGGGGCAGTCTACGCCCAAGTTTTCACTATCCAAGAGTGTCCTTGGGGCAGTCAGGTGACCTCTATGGGCCTCAGTTTCCTCCTCTGTAAAATCAGGTGGAATGGACCAGACCACCTGTAAGGTCTCTTCCAGCCCTAATCCATATACTTTTCAAAAAGTCCCACAACCAGGTGGATGATCATCGGTCTAGCAAAATCACTTCCACGGGCTTGCTATGTGCCAGGCTCCCTGCTAAATATCGCCTCGTCTAATCCTTACATCGACCCTCTGAATTAGGCAGCTACTATTATCTCATTTTACATATAAGGACACCGAGGTGCCAGAAAGTTAAGTAAGTTGCCCAAGATCACAGATATAGTAAGGGCAAAAAAGAGAAAAGTGAATTGTGAAGCTTAAGATAACATGAAAAGGTTGGGAGAAACCCCCAATTAAACAGATGACGTGAAGGAAGTGAACTTGCGTGATGGAAGAGGAAGAGGAACCTGAGGCTGGGTGTGGGTCTGTTTCTCAGTCCTCTGTTGTGGGCGTCCAACGGTGTTGGGTATCTCGCCCTGGTTGTGTCAGTGTCTCCTCAGGCCAGGCCTCTATGGCAGAGAGAAGAAAATTTGGAGTGATCTTGTAGGCAACAGGCTTTGGCCACGTAGTTTTCCTGTCCTCCTCATTTTGCCTTTCTGGCCTCCAACATAGTATGGGACCCTTTGCCAAATTTAGGTCTCCCAGTTAACCACAGAATGGCCAAGGTAACCACAAAACATAGACGGAAGCCACGAGCGGGACTGAGGTTACAGCAAGTGGGCCAGCGGCTGCCTCTGGGGTGAGAATCCCAGAGGGCCCTGGAGATGGATCAGCCATGTTGCTGACTCAGCTCCCAGCTTGACCTTGAGAGGGTCATCTCTCCGTTTCAGGAAATCACGGCTGGGGACCCTCAGCTGGTACTGGCAGAGGCACTGGGCTTTCTGCTAAGTGCTTGAGAATCCTTAGAGGTAAGAGATTTGAGGCCTGGCTAAAGAGTGGTCCTCGGACCAACAGCAACAGCATCACCAGTGAGGGGGTCAGACATGAAGAACCTCCAGCCCCAGGCCAGATCTGCTGAACAGACTGCATTTTAGCAAAATCCCCAGGGGAAACGCGCACATGAAAGTTTGAGGAGCTCTGAGTACAGGACAACTTACAAACGTTCAAGTGGTGGTGCTCACTTTTTAAAAAACTCTGCTAACTGTATCCCAAAGTAGGTCAGTTACATCAGAATCCCTGGGCGATGCCCAGGCATGGGGTGAGCGGGGGGAGGGGCGGAATGTGAAAGCTCCCTCAGGTGAGCTAAATGTGCAGCCAAGGTCAAAACCCACCCATCTCGTGTTGCCTGCCCCCTCCCTTCTAAATTAAAACCTACGCTAGGCGTTTCTGGACATCAGTTGGCAAGCCAATGTTGTTTCATGGCGAAGAACTCGCAAACTTTTAATCAAAAGAGGAAAATAAAGACAACATAATGAGCTTTTCACAAGCGAAAACATTTCGTTTAAAGGATTGGCTTTTATGCTAAAATTATGCCTTTACTATTTTCTTTTTGTCACTTTTTAAAATGTCCTTTCTTTTATGAAATGTTGGAGGAGGTAAATGTTTATTACAAAATAAAAAGAAAAAAAATCCTGATTTTTTTAAAAAAATCCAAAAGCCTAAGAACCATTCCTTAAGAAAACAGATTTAAATATTTCAGTGGATACACTCCCCTCCTTCCTCAAATTAAAACAAATTTGCTTCACTCACTAAGGTGCTACATCATGAGACAGAACTCAGGAAATGACTCTAGCCTTGTAAACACGCATTTCGATAAAAGGTCGATGGACATGAAGTCAGATTAAGTAACACAGGGTGTCCATCGTGCGATGTACTGGATTTTTTTTAAAACAAATGGTGATGTTTATGATTAACAACCCAAACTGGCCATCTACAAAGGAGTTTCTTGGACATGGGCTAGATCAGTGGCTCTCAGATTTTAGCCTCAGAATCCCCTGAAAGGCTTGTTCACGCTGGGTTCCTGGCCTCATCTCTCAAGTGTTTGATTCAGGAGCTCTAGATTTGGGCCTGAGAAATTTGCATTTCTAACAAGCTCCCAGGTAACGTTGCTTGCCCAGGGACCACCCTTTGAGAACCACTGCTCTAGGTAAAGAAAAATTGCTAGAGAAAATATGAAACAGAAAAATATTTCTTGCAAAAAAAGCCAAAAAGCATGTTTTTAGTTTAGTTTGTCCATAGAGTATGCAGACCTCCAGCAGGAATAGGTCATTTGAAGGGAAAGATTTGTGCTGATCTTATAAAATGGTCTTTTAAAAGCAGCAGCATATTTGCTGGAGATCCCTCGGTGGGCGTGGGGGCATCTCTTATGTTGGAGCCGGGTGAATAATTCCATAGGCAGTGGTCTCCTTCCGGGCCTGATGCCATGTCCGTCAGTAGCTTCCTGCACGTCCCTCTGCCACTCCATTTGGACCTCTGATTTCTCGAACAACTCTAATAAGATGCAACCTTCCCAAAGGTTGGCTCTCTTCTGATCCCGCTGTCCAGTGCTGACAACAGGCCCACTAAATTTAGCAGAAGTGGAAAAAACCCCACGGAGTCCCACTCCGGGGCGCACCTGCAAGCCGCTGGACAGCCCACCAGCCTCCAGACCATTCTTAGAAAAATTAGGCTATCTTTCCTTAGCTATCTATCGTGTGGCCTCCACCCGGCTGCAGGATATGAGGGCCATTTAATTAGGCCCTGCACCACTCTCTGGTGTGAAAAGGCTCTCAAACGCTTTGATTCCCCACTGCTTCGCAGCAGGAAGTTGTTGGCGATAATTGACATAGGATTTCCTTGTTAACCAGCAGCAGACATGCCGGATTAAAGCGACAGAGATCTCGAGAAGAAAGTGAAAGAGATAAGAAGCTCGAGAAGACTTCTGCTTATTTGGCACTTGAGGACGGGGAGGAAACAGCAATAACCCACTCAAGTATTGACTCCCAGAGTGGAAGGGCGTCCCCTTATCAGACCCATTTCAGCTTGGCTGATCAAAGATTGACTCCCCGTAAAATCACATAGGCCTGGGGTTTGTCAGTTTATTAAGTGGCAGGTTTTAGGAATTATCACAGGTTTAAAGATGGATTGCAGTTTATATGAAGGGGGAGAGGATTATCAGGTTTTCATCTGAACAATTATAAAATATCACAGCTGAAAGCTTGCTTGCAAATGACATAATTTTCCACTGCCAACTAAACAGGTCATTGTGAGGCTGCATGTAAGCGTTCCCAAGCAGGGAGGAAATACAGGCAAATTAACTCTGGGGAGGAATGAAGATGAGGGGCCTGGAAGCGCCTTGTTCCACTTCGGAAGCTGGTGTGATCTCATTGTGCCTGTGCGATTCCATAGGTAATTATATTTAATTTCTATGGGGGCCGTTTAGGTTGGCTTGCATTAAGAGATCGGGCTGAGAGAAGCAGCCCACTGAGATGGCTCTTAAAAAGCCGTTGTGATAAATGATACCGAAATAGATCCACATGAGCCAAGTGAAATGAAATGTCTACTTTGGAGTAGAGACAATTATGGTATATCACTTAATAACGTAACCTTACAAGAGCACATGTGGCATTAATAAAGGGCTGCGAGCTGCAAAAGCATGTTATGGGACTTCCTTTTGACAGCTATATACCGGTCCTGGCATGGTGGAGCCGCTTGCCTTGGTGGAGTGGAGTCCTTGACCATGATCTGTGCTTCAGAGAAATACGTAACTACAAAGGCTTGCATCCCTGCCGGTTTTAAAACGTGGCATTTCCTGGTGTTTCAGTTTGTGTTTAGTTACCAAAGAAATATGCTTTTATGGCAGGAAATTTAGGAGATACAGCAAAATATTAAGAATGAATAAAAATAATTCCCCCCACCCAGTGGTAAGTCCTGGTAAAGCCCGGCAGGTTTTGTTATTACATATACACAAATACGTAACGTCTCATAAAATCTGGCTCACTTCTTGTATTTTTCAAAAAATGCATAGTTTACTTAACAATAAACCACAAATTTTTCCCATATTTAGTAAGTGTTATTTGAAGGTATGGTTTTGAATCATGGCATTGTGTATGATAACATCATTTACTTAGATAATCCCCAATAGTTGGACATTTAAATTGTCATCCATTTGGCTACTATAAACAAAGTAGAAATGACCAGCTTTGAACCTAAATCTTTGTTTGGATGTTTCACTGCTTCCTTGGCAGAATTAGAATTAGAAGGAGGGTTTCTGGCTCAAAGGGTATGGATATCTTTTAGGACACTGATACCTACTCAAATTTGCAGATTTTCAACATTACTCAACAATAATTTTCCCGATGTCGAAGTCAGAAGCATTTTGTGTCATCCACCCCAAAACGAGAGCACATGACAGCAGCTATTTCATCGAAAGGACCTCAGTCACTCTGTCTGCCCACATCACTTGGGTTATTTCGTTCTAATCTGACCTTTTGCCATTAAGTTCTGTGACAGTTTGTGACAGACTATGACAATAAAGAGTGACTCAGTAATCAAGTTAATAGGGCCAAACTCTGAAGATAATCCTGTCAATGTTAACGACTAAAACATCGAACACATCTTTTATCCAAGAAGTTCAAGTTCCCCTTAGACACCAATTCATTACCGTTCACAAGTACAAACAGAATTGGATGAAAAAAACCACAAAAACAAAAACCTTTAAAGCAAACTGGAAAGGGAGGCAGTGGGAGGAAGGAGGAGATGCCGACTCTGGACTGAGCTTTTTTTTTTTCTTTTTTTTTCCCTGCTTTATCTCCTCAAATCCCCCCTGGTACATAGTTGTATATCTTAGTTGCAGGTCCTTCTAGTTGTGGCTGGACTGAGCTTTTTAACAAAACACCCTCAGGGCTTGATCTAGTATGCAGAGGAGAAAAGGCATTTTTTTTCAAATTTTTATTTTTTCATTTGCTGCAGAAAGGCTGGGCCAGTCAGCTATCAAGTCTTTGAGACTATCTTGAAAACAACAAAACAAACAACATCTTTGCTCTCTGTGTCCTTAACGTCAGTCTCCTTCGAGTGGGATTTCAGATGTAAAGTCCGATTCTTCCTTGTCAGAGGGATGTTTACCGTGCGGATGGCTGAGATGGTCTGGAGCGTTATGTTATTCCTGAATGAAAGCAAGTGGTCTGCAGAGCCAAAAGTTGATGCTACTATAGGATTTTTCTGCATAATTTATTCACGAAGAAGATGTCAAAAAAGATGCTCTTAGTTGACCTATAGCTTTGGAAAATATATCTGTGAAAAAAGATACTATTTTCTGTATATCTATCTATGAAAGATAATCTTTCCTATTTGTTATCTATTGAAAAGCTATCTTAATTGACTTATAGTTCTTAAAATATATATTTATGAAATTATTTTTATAAAGCTCAATGCAGACAGTGTCTGAGAAGATAACATATTACAAGCAATATTTAACTGTTCATTATTTTGAAGCCACTTACGTTTTTCCCTCTATGAGCAAAGATGGAAACTGGTTGTTCACCTCTCAGCACCAGAGACTAACGCTCACTGTATTGAAATTACATTGAGCCCGAACACAGGGTACCATGCCAGAAATTAGCCTGCTCCTGCCTGGGGGAAAATAAACTAGCGTAAATCTATTTAGCCCAAATTTTCTTGTCTTGTCCTCTTGATTTTGGGTAATCTCTAATTGTTTTATAAGGCAGAGTACAGTGGAATTGTTATCCACAGTGTAACCTACTGGTTCAAGGCATTTATAAATTCTGCTGCTCTAATGGTAACCCCGACTTTCAACACTTTCACTTGTCTGAAGGGCTGAAGAGTAACCAGCCTGCTTGGCCCCCAGTCCTGCTGATGGAAGATACTTAGAAATCATTTCAGCAGCTGTGGCTATTTGCTCAGAGAAACATCTGTCCAGGGGAGGCGGAGAGTATCACTAACTGAAATAAAAAACAGCAAGACCATCACCTTCTCGATCTGGTCTTGGAGTGTGCCTTGAGAACGATTGTCCCTGGGACCCCTTGTAATTTAGGGTGCAGAAATCAGAGACAAATGGATCTTGTTGTAATAGTGTTCTCATAACCATCTTGGGGAATTTCCAGCAGAGGTCTTGGAGAATTACACAATGCCCCTGATGCTAGGAATATAGTCTGACTCGCAATTCCAGCTTTCACAGCACTGTAGAGGTGAATGAAAAACAAGTTCTAAGCTCAAGCCTAAGACGGTACCTACAAAGGATAGCCCCGGAGCAGGTCAGGAGCTCTTTCTAAATAGCAATGGTCAATTTTGCTTTTCAAATAAGAGGAGGAGAACCCCAGTTTTGAACCCCTTATGATTTTCCACTGGGGCCCAACAAAGCAAGATTTGTTTTAAAAATCTTTTCTTCAAGGAGGGCCTAAGGATTGTTTTTATTTTATTAAGTTGCACATCCTTCGTCCACGAGATAAGGGGCGTTGTGTCATACGTGATACATATATATCATATGGTGTATATAATATAATGATGTGTCATAATGATAACATATAGCAAAAGAAGAGCAAAAAAGCGATGTGTGTAGGCATTTTACAAATTGTCATTTTTTTAATTGAGGTATAATTGACATACAACATTATATTAGTTTCAGGTGTACAAAATAATGTTTCAATAGTTGTATGTGTTGTAAAATGATCACCACAATAAGTCTAGTTAGCATCTATCACCTTACATAGTTAACAGAATTTTTTTCTTATGTTGAGAACTTTTCAGATCTACTCTCCTAACAACTTTCAATGATGCAATATGGCGTTATTAACTGTAGTTGCCATGCTGTATGTTACATCCCAGGGCTTATTTATTTTATAGCTGGAAGTTTGTACCTTTTGACTCCCTTCACCCATTTCACCCACCCTATAAATTGTCATTTCTGATTTTTCTTTAATCCTCCATGGCTGGTATCGTGTGTGAAGACTCCTCTGTAAGGTGCTGGGTCCTCCAGCAGACGAAGCCAAGACATCGTTCCCATAGGAGAGCTGACTTCTCAACACCCGTAATGGAAGCCGCTCGCATATCCCAAGGGCTTCCTGGGGGAAGGCAGGCACGGTTTTAAAGTGTTTTACATCTATGATCTCGTTTAATCCTCATACCACCCTGTGTCTGAAAACAAATTTCCCGAACTGGAAGTCTTCATTTATTTATTTGTTTAGAAATAGGCATTGAGCACATCCAGGAAGAATAGACCCACAGAGGAACAAGGACAGTAGAGTATAATTGGAAGGAGGCAGCGAGCAGAGTGGTTAGTGCACTGGCTTCCGGTTCCGAGGGACTTGAAGTGGAAGCCCAGCTCTACCACTTACGACTGAGTGCCCTTGGGCAAGGGGTGTGGCTTCTCCAGGCCACAGCTTCCTAATCCATAAAGTGACAATAATAATACTGATTTCATAGGTTATTGCAAGAATTAAAAGATACCAACAGGTCAAGCACATAGTGAACAGCTGACATCTAGTATATGCTTAATGAATAGTACCACCTACTGATTTTTGTCATTATTTTCTATTAGTGCTATTACTGTTAGTGCTGTAACAATTTAGTAAAGTATTATGGGATTACAAAAAAATTTCAGAACAAAAAGTTTGCACCTCTAACATCAGTATCACTCCTCATAGATTTTACTAGATTTTCCAGTGGTTCCCAAGGATTGTCTGCAGACCAGCGCTGGCCAGTCATTACAGCTTCTTCCGCCTGTGGACACAACCCTCGGGCTCTCTCTCCTAGGAAGGAATACTTTCTTTCTGAGATTCTGTTCTTTTAAAGTTTTTACGTATTTAAAAATTCTGTGTGTGAGTTAAAATGTGGTTTCTTTATAGAATGATGGAGACAATATATAACATTTGCGGAGGGATATTAATGAGTTAATTTGGCAGAATTAAAAATTGGCAATCCCGTGCAGAGGTCTCCCCCTCCCAATTTTGAAAAGTTGCTTCACGGAGTCTGGGAGTTCTTGGGTTTTACGATTTGTTTTTAGCAAAGTAAAAGTCTACTTTCTTCCTAGACGAAGCGTGGGGTTTTTGTCTATTTGTTTTCATTTTTCTGTGGCAATGGGGCTTTTGAGTAAGACTCATTTTTCTAAGTGATGCATCTGCTTTTAATGTCTTAAATGCTGGGATGGAGCAGACATCTCTCTCTGGTCTGGATTTTCTTAAATAGCCAGAAGTCTTCATGACAAAGACAGCAACCATCTAATAGAGAAATAACTCTAAGACAAAGTACTGTGGCTGCGTGATGTCGCCTCCCTGACAACCTATAAATGGACCATATTGATGAAGTGAACGGGACTCTCTCTGGTCCTTTTCAACCAGAAACTAATAACACCCGGCATGATATCAGGCATGCAATAACCTCGGTTAAAACTGGGTTCATCAAATAAATCACTCAGGAATTTTTCTATTTCTTTCTCTGGACACATTGCACATCTGCTCAATGAAAGGAGGAAAGAAGCAATATTTCTTTGATCAGGATTTTCTTTTTAATATTCTTGTACCTGTCCCTGGGGGTGCTATCTTTTCAAGTGGGTGCAGATAGGCGGTCGCTTTCTAATGAATGTAGAGAATTTATGAATTTAAGCTATAAAACCAAATATGAGGGATTTTAGTTTATCTCAATCTATATTTTACATTGTCATGAGAAAATAAACCGAACCACAAAGCTGTATTGTCCCCAGTTCTCTAAATCTCCTGATCTCGTGTGACCTTTTCAATGTGTTCCATTTGTGGCCACATATGGGAGGCGGATGCAAACAGATGATTGCTTTGTACTTTTTCCTCCAATATGTCTAAATACATGTAACGCTTTTCATACCCTCTCGGCCACGGATAGTAAGAGCTTGGCCAGAGCATCAGACCTCAGCCTCAGCTAATATTGTCACATGTTAACATCTTACTGACTCTGTTAATACTTTCTAGGTATTGGGTGAATTTTGAAATTTGTAAAATGGACACGGCTGTCATCCTGTGTCCTGAGGATCTTAAAATCCCTAGGTCAGCTCCTTGAGTCTTAAGGAATTATGGATAGAAAATGTCTTTTCTGCTTGTAAAATAGAAAATAGCAGAAGCTGTACAACCAGGGAAGCTGAGCTTTTCTGAACGTGGAATAAAAAGTGAATGAAAGGGCAGAGTCCCAGTTTGTTCTTGCTGGCCCGTGCTACCAGCATCGAGAGAAGCCGAGTGTGGTGGTGAGGGCACAGGGCTGGAGTCCGGTGGACCTGAGTTCGAATCCTAGCTCTGCACCTGCCAGCTGTGTGGAAGGACAATTACGTAAACCTGGAGTTCCTCCTTGGTAAATTTGGGATGATGGTACAGATCTCAAAAAGTTTTGTGAGGAATTAAATGAGTTAAGGTTTAGGAGACATTTGGCATCTTGCCTGCTATGTGTTAGGTGCTCAATGGATTTGAGTTCCCTTTCCTTTCCTGACTTCAAGGCCCAGGCTTGCAAGCTGTGTGATCCTGAGCAAGTTACTTAACTTCTCTGACCCTCAGCTTCCAC